AAGAGGTACCCCTGTTGGGGTCGTGTCACATTGGAATCCCTCTTCCCCAGTACTCCAGCTCCTCAGGATCTTAGGCGTGCACACCTAGGTGTGTGTTTAAGCTGACCTGGGGACCCAAACCCACTCTGTGCCATGTGGCTCTCAGCACTGCAGTTCAGTTTTGTTATCAACCACGCCACCAGGCTGGACCGGGCCTGGCTTCTGGAGGAGAATTTTGATTTTGTTCCCTGGTGCTCCTGCCTCCCAATCAGGATAAGAGGGGGCAACTTTCATCTAAAGAAACACTACTCAAACCTGTGATTTTCATAGCAGAGAAGCAGATATGACATCCACAAATGTTGTGAATACTATGACTATGTCTTTCATCGGCAGGCAGTGCCATAAAGATGACAGAAAGTAGCGCCTTGAACCACTATTGTGACCACCTCTTCCCTATTCGCCAGATTTTCTTCCTAGGTGGAGAATCCCAATCCAAATGGGGAATTTGAAAGGAGAAGCTGGGCATGCATAGGCTAGACTTCTACTTTCCCTTGGGAGAAGAGCAGCTGTTCACTGCTCATCCAGAGCCCTTTGGCCGGAGACCTTCCTTGGTCCAGAGCTGCCTGGCACTGTGTGGATTTGTCGCCTTATCTCTGGATTCAGTAATGGGGCGTCTACTTGCCTACACCTAAAGCCTACATATTCCAAAATCAGTCTTATGAGTATAGGAGATATTTATGTCCCCCATCTGCTGATTGATACGTTTTTATTTTATTTTATTTCATTTTTATAGTTTTGTTTATTTACTCCAAGAGTCAGAGCGATACAGAGAGAAAGAGAGCAAGAGAAGAATACAGTACTCTTGACAGGGTCTTGATGCTGTGGTCCACCCTCAGCCTCAGCCAATCCGGGATCATGGGCACAGATGAGCCTGGAGTACTCAGGAAGTTCTCTGGACACGAACTGGTAACCCTCACATGTGGGTGTACAGAGCTTTGTGTTCTATTGCTGCACCATTGTCCAGTCCCTGGCAGATCTGATTTTTCAATCAATTCAGAATGTGGGTGGTAAAAAGGGGTACCATTTTCTTGGGTTCCTCTAACACCCAACAACTACTAAAGCCCAACTTAAAAAGTTATATTTGATAAAAACAAACTCCCAAGCTATCCACTCATTCTTTAAAGTTTCAGCCTAGTGTCACATTATATTAACCATATATATGTACAGCATATTAATGTAGACCCACTCAGAATTGCCTTCACCGAGTCAAACATTAATGTAGGCATTTTACTGCAAGTCACTGTGGATCAAGACTATGTAAACATCTGTATCTGCAAAGTGTTGATGACGTTGTCTGATATATGTCTGTTACTCAGTGCTTTGTGCTTATTTGTTCCATGTGGTAAATTTACTTTAGAAGGAGAATTTTTTTTTTAATTTTAGATTTTTGCCATAAGGTGCATGCACTCATCAGAGAGAAAGAGACAGAGAAAGTGAGAAATCAACTCCTGGGGGGACGGTCATGCCACAATCCCTTCTCCTCAATTCTCCATTCGGAATTTTGGGTATGTACACAGACATACCTGGCATGTTTTTTAAGCTACCCGGGTCCAGGACTTGAACCACAGAGACAGCCATGTGGGATCCAGCACCTTAACCACCATTCCATCTGCTGACTCAGAAGCAGAATATTATCTTTACGGTTACATGTACTCCACAAGATAGGTAACTATGTCATTGACCTCCCTGTGGAGGAATCCCTGGTCCAGTGTAACATTCAAGCACACTAACTGTACTAACCAATAGGAATAACAGTCCTACTCCATTCTTTTCAAAGCTTTAATTACTAATTTCCATTTAAACAATAGATATGCCACAGTTTTTTTGTTTTGTTTTGCTTTGTTTTTAAGTTTTTTTGCCATAGGGCACATGCGCTGACTGGAGAGAGTGAGTGAGAAAGTGAGAAATCACCCCTCCCAGGGAGATAGCCATGCCACAATCCCTTCGCCTCCAGGGATTCTGGGCATGCACATACATACACCAATGTGATTTTCAAGCCTTCAGTGTCACAATTCAAACTGTGGTCAGCCATGTGGGAGTCCAACACCTTAACCACTCTACCAGCTGCTGGCTCCATGTGCCATCAGTTTTGTAGGCTGTCTCAATTTCTTTTTTTGGAGAGGTTTTTTGCTATAGGGCGTGTGCGCTCGCCAGACAGACAGAGAGAGACAGAGAGACAAAAAGCGAGAGAAATCACCCCCCAGGGGGGATGGTCACGCTGCAATCCCTTCTCCTCCATTCTCCTCTCAGGATCTTGGGCACGCACGCACACGCACCTGGCGTGAGTTTTAAGCCACCGGGTCCGGGACGCGAACCGTGGTCGACTACGTGGGAGTCTGGCGACATAGCCATTACACTAACTGTTGGTTCCCATAGGCTGTCTCAATTTCTTTAAAACATTAGTTAGGCACAGTGGAAATAACAGAAAAATGAAAGTGAGGAAGTTCTGTTTTCCACCTTAGCATGTAAACGCCCTAGGAAGTCATCACTTGGCAACTCACAATAACCAAAAAATACAAACAAAATGGGAATCAAAACTCTTCTTAGATACACCAGAGAACTGAAGTCACAAAATAAAAGTACATATGTACAAAACTTACTAGAACAACACCTCAGAAACCAGTGCTGCAGGCCAGCCAGTGGCATAGTAGTTAAGGTTACTGGATCTCACATGGCCCACTGTGTGGTTCAAGCCCCAGACCTGGTGGCTGAGAAAACAACCCAGGCACATGTGTGTGCATGTGCAAAATCCTGCAAGGAATGAGAAATGGAAGAGGTGAGATTGCAGCATGACCGTCTCCCAGGGAGGTTACTTTCTTACTTTCCCTCTCTCTCCTTCTGTCTCTCTGGTGAGCACATGTGTTCTATGTCCAAGTGGAAGAAAGGAAGAAAGGAAGGGAAGGAAAGAACAGAACAGGGATAGGAAAACTTAGTCTGTAATTGGTGAGTTACTGGAGGCTCAGTGTGGACAAGTCTAAGAGTTAAAAACTCCCAAGGACCTAATCTGAAGAGAACCTACACACGTTTGTGAATTTTTACCTCCAAGATTCCTACCAGGTTCTCACAGTGAAAATTAGAGAAAAATCTCATGCTTCCAGAAGAGAGGAGGAAAAGGTAACCATTTTTAAATAGTCCCAGATGATTCTGTTCTGACTAGGTCTCTTAGAAGAAACTATTTTACCAATGTTTAACTGACTAGAGTTTTATCAGAACCTAACCAATGTGGGAGAGGGGAAACAATCAATTCCAGCTGACTCCACCCTTCCTTTCTCACCTAAAGAGAAGACAAAACAAAACTTGAGAAGCACGTGTGAAGGTCATAGTCCAGGGTCACAGGCTCACTAAAATGCAATTTCGGACTATAGAACACTTCTCCTCCCCCAACATCTTTCCATCTCATCAGCAGGGCTTTCTATGATAACGGGAATATAACAAAAAGCTGCATTCTCAGACTTTATTTAAGAACAGTTCTCTAGGGAAACCTAGAGACAACAGCAAAGATTAAAGTAAGGATACCAGGGGGCCAGCAGTTAGTATAATGGCTATGTCGCTGGGCTCCCATATAGTCAACCGCGGTTTGAGTCCCAGACCCGGTGGCTTAAACTCACGCCGGGCGTGTGTGCGTGCGTGCCCAAGATCCCGAGGGGAGAATGGAGGAGAAGGGATTGTGGCGTGGCCATCCCCCCTGGGGGGGTGACTTCTTGCTTTCTGTCTCTCTGTCTCTCTCTGTCTTTCTGCTGAGTGCACGTGCCCTATAGTAAAAACATCTCCCAAAACAAAACATAAACAAAAACGATACCAGAGAAGACTCCAGTCTCGGACATCTACAGCAAATGTTAGGTGTGCCCTAACCCCTAGCCAGCTCAATACGTAACTTCA